CCTGTGACCCAGCAGCCCTCAGGCAGGCTCTTGAGAAGATCCATATACCTGTGGGCCAAGGCTTACTTTATTGCAGGAGCACACTCACTGAGTGGTCTTCCAGTAATTTTCCTCCAAATGAACAAGTCCAGATTGTCAGGTTTTTATGTACTTCTGTTCCTTCCCAACATTTCATTCTTAAGGGTGCATAATGTAAGTGATGTGTTTTAGAGCCAGCATTTTGTGTTACTTGAACAACTTGCATATTAATTCATAATCCTATGAATGTCCCTGCCCATCCATTTCCTTCTCCCATCTCAAGGGTATTTAAAAAACCATGTACAAGGGCTCTGTCATGGCAGTAGGTGGCCTTGAGGAAAAAGACAGAAGGTACTGTTTGGAGCAGAGAAGGCGAGTGTGGGCAGGGCTGGACACCGTCTTCCTGACCGTTACCCTCATTGTGGGACCAAAAGGAATCCTCTGGAGGGCATTCTTTTTGTATGTTTTCTATCAAATTTGCCTTTAAAAATATTACTCCAGAAGACTGGATTCCGTGTGTTGGGTGAGGCTGTATGTTAAGAGAAGATGTCTGTTTTGATAAAGACCTTTCCCCCAGTGATGATTTGGGGTGAGAGCTTGAGTAGATGGGAGGTAAGAAAATGGGGATGCAGTGAATAGACAACTTTGAAAAAGTTTATTGTTCAGGGAGAAAACAGAGCACCGAACCCACTTCTTGTTCTTGCTTTTAGTCTCCAGGCCCCTGGAAACCTCTGTGTTACCTTTTTATCACCTTTTTCACCCCCAGAGCAATCTAGACCCCAGGCTCGTGCATTCCCACCGGGTGTCAGTCAGCCTTCTGCTTCGGTTCTTGCTTCCACACGGGGTCAGAATCCACCTTCAATTCTGTAGTCCAAACACTTGCTTTCCCCTAATTCTTTTATTTGGTAAGTGGCACTGCCACTTCTGATCCCTCCCACTTTTGTAACCCCAACCTCACCCCCACCTGCCCAGAAAATTGTCCCAAGTTTGGGACTATCCAGAGACTCTAGAGTCTTAGTGGTTCATCCTCTTTATTGTCTCTTGGATTTATTCTCTTCTTTCACCTCTTGCTTTCACTGCCTCATCATCTTTGACTGGTCTGTATCTACCTCTCAGTGCTTCAATTAAAAACTGGGGATTACATTACCTACCTTGAAACTTTGCTAGGAGCAGCAGTTATTTATTTTTTTAATTTAAAAAATTTATTAATTTGTGTGTGCATGTGTATGTGTGTGAGAGAGACACCCACACCCACACATTAATTTGTTTTTCCATTTATTTGTGTACTCATTGGCTGATTGTTGTGTGTGCCCTGACCCAGAATCAAACCCTCAACCTTGGTGTATCGAGACAATGCTCTAACCAACCAAGCTCCCAGCCAGGGTTATTTATTTATTATTTTTCAGTGTGAGGGGAAGGAAAAGAAAGAGAGGAGGAGAAACACCAACGTGTGGTTGCCTCTCCTGCGCCCCCTACTGGGGACCTGGCCTACAAGCCAGGGATTTGCCCTGACTGGCAACTGAACTGGCAACCCTTTGATTTGTAGGCCGGCACTCAATCCATTGAGCCACACCAGCCAAGGCAATGTTTATTTAGTTTTAAAATCTTTAATTATTGATTTAAGAGAGGGAGGGAGGAGGAGAAGGGGAGTTAGCGGGAAGGGGAGAGAGGGACGTTGGTTTGTTCTTCCACTTATTCATGCATTCATTGATTGTTTCTTGTACATGCCCTAACTGGATGGAACCCACAACTTTGGTGTATTGGTATGACACTCCAACCAACTGAGCAACCTGGCTAGGGTAGGAGCAGTAGTTTAAAAGATGCGCGTAGACCAGGTAGCATAGAGCTTTGATATTAGCTTTTGCTCTTTGATGAGCTTTCAACTTTGATAAAGTTGGCTCTTTTATCTGTTACACATTATCTTGGGGAATAACTTAGACTCTAAACTTGTGTGTTTACATCTATTTAATGAAGTGGGGTTTTAATGGATGGTCTTTATTTCTGTCTTTTTTCTTTAAGACCAGGACCGGTACTTAATTATAACCCAGGTAGAGCGATTCTATGAGAAGTGCTAACATAACTCACTCAGATACTTTGCTTTTTAATAGAATTTAAAGAATTTAGACAAATGGCCAGTTAGCAGGAAAAGGGAAAAAATAATTAACATTTGGTAAAAGACAGGCACTTTATGTGTATTATATCATTTGCCAGTAGTCATCTGAAACCCCTATGAGGCAAGTAGGTATTTAACATAAGAAAATTGAGGACTAGAAAGGTTAAGTTATTTGCCCAAGATGTAAAGCTTGTTAGACTCTCTTAGCTATTCTGCTCTCCCACAAACAGTGAAGGCTGAGGAACAGTAAGTGCTTTTGTCAGTTGTGTTTTTTTTTTCCTGAACACTGATTATTCTCTAGACCATAGACTATTTACTCCTGACAGTTTGAAAAAAACATTTTGATTCAGTGAATGTGTTTGTCCTGGGGTTTGTGTTCTTTCCCTCTCTCTCCTGGATAATATTTTTATTTAAACACTATTAAAGTCATAAAGTAATATTTGGCTTTCTGTTACTGTGCTTATTTTCTTCGGATTTAAAAAATGCATTAAGTGTATGCATTGTATTTAAACTAGACAGAAAACAAGTATTTGTTTAGTACAATAGGAAAGAAGTTAAATTCATAGCAGATGAATGCATATTCTTAGTACATTATCACTTTTATGTGTTTGGAGTCCTGTGTACATAATTGAAAAGCAAGAATTTCAGTGCCTTGCATTAAGTGGTGGTGGTGGTAGCAGTAATAACAGCTAACATTTGTTGAGCTCTGATTATGTGCATACACTTGTGTTAGATTTGTTATGTACGTGTTTATAAGTATTTTACTTGTATTAGTCACACACACACACACACACACATATACATGGTCCTGCGCAAATAACACTTCTTTTTTCAATTACAAAATCTTTTATTATAAAATCACAAGCATGTAATTTTGTAACATAACACTATCACACTTAAGCACACCATAGGACATTTTAGGTGAAATGTTCAAATTAAAACTGTGAATTATTACATTCATATTATTACCCTACCAAACACACTCAAGGAAGGCCTTATTTCTGCTGAACCCTGTATATATATTTATTCTCACCTGAGGATATGCTTGTTGATTTTTAGAGAGAAGGCAAGGGGGGGGGGAGAAAAACAATGACTGGTTGCCTTTTGTACAACAGTGGACCAAATCTGGAGGCCAGGTATGTGCCCTCACTGGGAATTGAACCTGCAGTATTTTGGTGTATGGGACAATACTCTAACCAACTGAGCCACACTGGCTAGGACTTGTATTTGCTTTTTAAATCCTCTCAGTAAATCTCACAGGCAGGTCATGTGTTACCTCCATTTTATACATGAGGAAATCGGGGCACAGAGAGATTAGTTATGTGTCCTAAGGTCCCATAACTAGGACACACACCAAACTGCCTTGGCAGTTCTAAAACTGAGTTAATCCAAATTTTAATTGTTCACCACTTAATTACGTTATTGAAACTCATTGCACTTTTTAAGGGTATGGTGTAACAGATTATCTTCAGAGTGAAAACTGACTAGGCCTAGTAGGGTTACAGGTAAATTACTTGAATTACTGAGGTACCCTCAAGGAACTAAGGCATTCTTTACTATGTGTTATTAATAATATTTTTAAAATCCAGGTATGATTTATTCTATAAGGTGCTTTATTCTAAAATATATCGTTGAAATGGAATGTTCCATTTCATTCATTCAACATGTTTAAATGTTGGCTGGTAGAGTACGTTGTTTTCAATTATATCTGAGAAGGAATTTTAAAAAGGTATGGCAGGAATAGGTAAACATCTTTTCTATTTAACCAGCAGTAATACTGGGTTCCGAACTTGTAATTTACAGGAAGAAAGTTTGAGGTAATAGAGACATAGTGTTTTTATAAGTGTGAGGTTATTTTTGTTGGCTAAGAAATGCACTGTATGTTTTAATGCCTTTATATTGAAATCAGTACTTTCATCCTATTTTAAATTCATTTTAAATTGTTGTTCATTTACAGTTGTCCCCAGTTTTTGAGGTGTATGTCCCCTCATTGCTCCCCCTGCCCCATCCAGCTCCTGCTCCCAGAGACAGTCCCCACCCCATTGTCCTTGTCCAGGGGTTCTTCGTACATACTCTCCTCCTTTCCCCTGTTATCCCCCTCCCCACACCCTTCTGGTCACTGACAGTTTGTTCTTTATTTCCATGTCTCCAGTTCTTTTTTGCTCATATGTTTGTTTTGTTGATTATGTTCTGCCTATAGGTGAAATCATATGGTATTTGTTTTTCACTGTCTGGCTCATTTCACGTAGCATAATGCTCTCCAGTTCCATCCATGCTGTTGCAAAGGGTAGGAGCTCCTTTTTTCTTTCTGCCGTGTAGTATTTCATTGTGTAAATGTACCACAGGTTTTTGATCCACTCATTTACTGATGGGCACTTAGGTTGTTTCTAGCACTTGGCTGTTGTAAATAACGCTGCTTTGAACATTGGGGTGCATAGGTTTTTTTGAATTGGTGTTTCAGGATTCTTAGGGTACAATCCAAGCAATGGAATCACTGGATCAAAAGGCAGTTCCCTTTTTAGTTTTTTGAGGAAATTTCATACTGCTTTCCACAGTGGCTGCACCAGCCTGCATTCTCACCAACAGTGCACGAGGGTTTCCTTTTCTCCACAACCTTCCCAGCACGTGTTTGTTGGTTTGTTTCTGATGGCCATTCTGACCAGTGTGAGGTATTTCAGTGTAGTTTTAATTTGCATCTCTCTGATGGCTAGTGATGCTGAACATTCTTTCATATGTCTCTGGGCTCTCTGTATATCTTCCTTGGAGAAGTGTCTGTGTAGGTCCTTTGCCCATTTTTTTTTAATTGGATAGTTTGTCTTCCTGGTGTGGAGTCGTGTGTAAACTCAGTATTTTTCTCCTTTCTTCTTAGTTCTCCAAAGGACATGGATGAAAATGAAAGCAGTGACTCCCTGGTGACAAGCAGCCAATATCCTAAAGAAGCAGTAAGAAAACGCCAAAATTCAACGAGGAGTTCTGGAGGAAGTGATTCTTCTAGGTTTTCCAGGAAAAGTTTCAAACTGGATTACAGACTAGAGGAAGATGTAACTAAATCAAAGAGAGGAAAAGATGGGAGATTTGTTAACCCCTGGCCAACGTGGAAAAGTCCCTCTATCCCAAATGTTCTCAGATGGCTGATAATGGAAAAAGATCACAGCAGCATTCCGTGTTCCAAAGAGGTAGAGTTTGACTCTTACGAGTGCTGTGTATTTACTCTTTATGGGTGTGTGTGTGTATATAAAATTTTGCTGTGAATTGTTTTATGACACTTAAGTTAGTTGAACCCCTTTTATATGATAAGGCAGAGAGAAGGCTAGGTTCTGGGGAGATAAAGTAAGTAAGGTGCCCTCAAATTCCTGGTTCAGCAGCAGAGTACATATACGAATAACCAACTCTGATCTGGTGGCAACTAGAGGTGGGAACAACAGAATGCTTTAGAAGTGCAAGAAAGAAAGCAATTAATTGTCACTGGTGGGGTTGGAAATGACTTCACAGAGGATGATATTTGACATGGGCCTAGAGAGAGGAAAAAGTATTTTGGCAGTGGTTTTCTAGGTGGCATGAACAAGGTCACAAAGGTAAGAAAGTACATGACATGTTCCAGAAAGTAGTAATCTGATGTGCGTTTGGAAAATGAATTATGAGGGTTAAGGCATGGCCCAAGAGTTCTTGGCTTTCCTCCTTGTGTAAAACTGCTAACCTTTTTCATACCTTTAAAAATTGGCAATAGGTTATTGGCCTTTAAATATGTTGTTTTTACTTAGATGAAAACTTACTAAAGCTTGCCATAAGGTTTATTAGCTGAATGAGATTCTACTCCAGTGGCTGAGGGATGGTCTCCAATTGCAGTAGTACCTTTTCTCCTTTCTTAGGTTCTTTTCCCTCTCCTATGTCCTATCTCCCCTAGCCACTCTTTCCCACCAACCCCATGCCCTGCCAGGCTTTATGGGGAGCTGAGATATAAAGAACTTGAGGTTGGGAGTGGGGGATGGGTTGAAAAATAGGGGCACATGTGAAGGCTTGATCTGCAGTGGCAAGAGGCAGGAGGTGCACTGGGTGGGTGGTGGTCTTAGATAACTTCATCTGGATATGTGCATCCACTTTTCTTTAAAGGATATGGGATTAAAAAACCTGAAATTATCACTTTGATACTAAGGAATGTTTATAGTATTGATTCTAGTAGGCAGACTTGATTAATGTGAATATCTTACCAGAACTTTTTATAATGAGTTAGGACATTAATAGATGAAACCTTGTGTTTATGTTTCAACTTTGAGAATGGGAAGAACAAGAAAATTTTTTTCTTCTCCTGGAGAACCCCATGTGAAGAGAAACATGGAGTCCAGCTGTGCAGAGAAGGGTCAGGGCAGAAGGCCAAGACGGGTAGGCTGCCTGTTGGGGTAAATTGATTCTGGGTTTTGAGCTACAGCTTGTAAAAAAACAGAGATAGCAATGGTGTTTTTCGTTTGACTTTATTTCAAGAGGAAGTGAGTGACCACATGGAGACAGGAGCACATCTCTGCAGTTTAAGAATTTGGAGATATTCTACAAACTGTACTGAATCCCTGAGAACTCACCAGGCCAATGGTCCTTAGGTTCTTTTGGATACTGACCCCTTTTGAAAATCCGATGAAAGCTGTGGACCCTCTTCTTAGAGAAATACACACATGCAATAAACATATTGCTTTTTACTATAGTTTTAGGGAGTTCTTGGACCCTCTCAAGCCAGTCCATTAACTCATTTATTCATTCATTTAGTTAGTATTTGTTGAGCCGGAGCCCAATAAATAAATATCTAGGTGCTAAAGATAGAGACATGAACAAAGCAGAAAGACACCCTTCATGGCCTTGGACCTTACTTAGGTTTAAGTAGATGAGAGAGACAGTGAACAGTGAGTGAATTCTGTGGTATATTAAAAGATGATTAGCCCTGGCTGGTGTGGCTCAGTGGATTGAGCGCTGCCCTGTGAACCAAAGGGTCACTGGTTCGATTCCCAGTCAGGGCACATGCCTGGGTTGTGGGCCAGGTCCCCAGTGGGGGACATGTGAGAAGCAACCACACACTGATGTTTCTCTCCCTGTCTTTCCCTTTGTCTAAAAATAAATAAAATCTTTTAAAAAAAGATGATTAGTATTCTGAAGAAAATAAAGCTGAGAAGGAAGTTAGGGTGATACAGGTGAAAGCTATATTCCATAAGTGTAAGGTTTTTTTGCTTTTTTTTAAGACAGAAGACTTTCTTTTTTAAAAAAAAGTCAAAGTAGGTCTCAATATGAACCACTTACATATGCATCACATAAAAGGAGAAAGAAGACACTTCTGCCCTATTCTAATTTATATTTTGTTTCCTATCTCTTATTTGTATCTTGTCTCCAATAAAAGCCTAGAACTAGATCGAATGCATGTACACTTGTTATTTTCATAGGTAACTTGAACTCATTCCAAATTTAATCCCTTTTAGTTGTAAAGGTAATTAATTTTTACCAACTCTTAAATGTGATAGAGTCAAATAACAGAGTCATTTCTGACAAACAAAAACCAAAACATATTAAGAACTATATAAAGAATACCTGTTTCAGGTCTTTGGGTCAATTTAGAACTTAACCAAATTTCTGATATTCGTTTGTTGTTTTTTTTTAAGATTTTAGAGAGAAGGGAAGGGAAGGAGAGAGAGGGAGAAACATTGATGTGAAAGAGAAACATGATCAGTTGCCTTTGGTATACCCACTGTCCTGAGACTGAACCCACAGCCCAGGCATGTGCCCTGACCGGAATCACACTGGCAACCTTTTGCTTTGCAGGATGACACCCATCCAACTGAGCCACACTAAGTCAGGACCTGGGAATTTTTTTTGTTAGACATTGAGAGGCTAGAGTTTAGTAAAACAACTTCAAATTACTTTTTTAAAAGACTTTATTTATTTATTTTCTAGAGAGAGGAATGGAGGAAAAAAGAGGGAGAGAAACATCAGTGTGTGGTTGCCTCTCACACACCCCCTACTGGCGACCTAGCTGGCAACCCAGACATGTGCCCTAGACTGGGAATTGAACTGGTGATCCTTTCTTTGATTTGCAGGCCGGTGCTCAATCCGCTGGGCTATACCAGCGAGGGCTCAAATTATTGTTTTGACAAACACACTCATAGATGCAAAGAACAAACTGATGGTTGTCAGATGGGAGGGGCATTGGAGGCTGGGTGAAAAAAGATGAAGGGATTAAAAACCACAAATTGGTGCATAGAAAATAATCACAGAGATGTAAAGTACAATATAAGGAAGGTAGTTAATAATATTGTTTTTCTGTTTTTAATTTTTATTTTGTTACAGTTATCCCAGTTTTTCCCCTTCACTTATTTATTTATTTATTTATTATAATTGATAGTAGTATTATAATAACTATATATGGTGCCAGGTGGGTACTTGAATTATCAGGGGATTTTATGATATATGCAGGCTTATAATTACCATATGTTATATAATATTATATTTAGGTATATAAATATGAAAGTGTTTGGGAGGAGACATGACTTTTAAAGTATAAAATAACTAATACAGCAGATCTAAATAAAGAAGGGTCGTTTTGCAAGGCTACACAATTTAGTTGCATTCTCCAACAATAGTGGTTTTTTTTTTAAGTTTAAAGATCAGATTTATTTGAGAAAAACAAAAAACCTCACACCTCAAAAAATGGGATTCCTGTATCAAGATATCTCCCAGGTATTAAGTCTACAGATGACAAATCATTTTCATAGAGATTTTTCTGTACAGATTTTTCGTGTGTTGAGGAGTGGGACATAAATTTCAGTTTCTGTTTTAATAATGTTTCTTGTACAATTGCTGATATTTGCCTTTTCTGGGCCTTTCGAGCAGCGTGTCAGCCAGTTCACAGGCTTTGCGTCATTCAGATGCTGTCATTGCTTTGTGCTGTCGCGCTTGGCTCAGTGTCTTGTCACATTGTCATTGTCCATCATAGTCACTAGTAGTTAGGGGAAAAGAGAGAATCTCAGAGAGGGAGGGGTGCAGGCATTTCCTGAGTCTTATTTGATGAAGGAGGCTGTCCTTGTCAGTCAGTACTGGTGAAGTGAGCAGGGGACTGTCACACTGGAGTGTGGGAGACACAGAACTGAGGCCGCACAGCATGACCTAGTAGAAAAAGTGGGACGCCAGGAGTGCGAAACCAGACTCAGGTTCAGGTTTCCTCGCCAAGTGCGTGACCTCATTTCTGTCACAAACCCTCAAGGAGCTCCTTTTCTTTTCTCATCTATAAAGTTAGAATAAGACAGTTTAGGTCACTATAATTGTTTTTTGGTTCGCCTGACACATGTAAGTACTTTGAAAATATAATGTACTCTTTGGCTGTGTGATATTGGAAAAATGAAGCATACCAATTATTTTATATTTATACTACAGTATGCTAGCAGGTTACTTTTTTATTTTTATGAAGAGAAGAAAATTGAATGTATACAATTTTTAAAAAGTCTTAGTTCTGAAAAGCATGTTAGACAAATAACTAGTCCCCTAACCAGCCCCTGCTACTCAGTCCCAGTCCTTGGAGGAAACAACTTTTAACCCTTTCAGACATCATTCCTCTGGAATTTACTTTCACATTTCTTTTAATTTTATTGTGTTAGGAACACAACATGAGATCTCTCTTCTTGAATTTGTAAGTGTACATTATACTTGACTATAAGTACAGTGCTGTACAATAGTTCTCCAGAGCTTCATCTTGCTTATCTGAAACTTTGTGCGCACTGGTCCTAGTTCCCCACTTCCCTCTCCCCCCAGCCGCTGGCATCCACCATTCTACTCTTGGATTCTATCCGATGCCTCAACTGTGTAGACTTGTACAACATTTGTCTTTCTGTGGTCATTTGTATTTTCTATCAGAGTTCACTCACTCTGACTCCGTTCCCATCTCTCTCCCATTTGAACTTAGTTTTTACTGTTCATATTGTTGTGAATATATCAGTATTTATCGGTGATAAACTGAGTAATGTACTTTGGCCATGTGTCCTTTTTTATATACTTTTACTCCCTGGGCTTAATGATACCTCTTTTTTTTCCATCTGCTTAACTTTCTGACTGACCATTTCCCTCCTTCCCACAGCTTCTCAATACAGTTTTCTTGAGGGAGACCCTCAGGGGGTCTTTTGGTTCGGGGCTGCAATCTGGGCTGGCAGCC